ACAACATTAATATGGATGAATCGTTTTAGGCGGAAATAAATGAGCTACATATTCTGCTATTTTTCTTTGTGGCCGTTTTTCAATATGCACGAGTATGCTACGTTTCGAGACTGAAATGAATTTTAATTAAAGTTCTCCAAGTTCCTCCACACCGGTGATTGCATTACACTGCACAAATTTTTATGTAGCGAATGCACTACAAACTGCTGTACATTCATTGGCTAGCACTTGGTTTTCCGACTAGGGCAGTGCAATTTATCAATCAATAGTATCAAAATATTTACAAAATTTTATAATCAACTTAAGTGCTTTCAACAAGAACACGAAATAATAATAAATAAGTATTTATTTTATTTTCAAATATATTTTGAGCAAATTATATCAAAAATATAGTACACAAACAGCTGCTTCGTATCTACTCACATTTCGCTTAAGGCATAAAATTGAATTCAATAACAATTCACTATTCCCTCACACCGGTGTCCTTCGCCTTACAAATAACCGGTTTTACAATAAATAAATGCAGGCGATGGTTTATGCCGAGGTAAATATTGTATTATGAGTATGCTGCTGTTGACAAAATGCAACTGAATTTGCAATAATACAAAATTTCATAACCCGATGAGTAGATGGAAAGAGAAACCGATTACAAATATAATATTTAATACCCAAAACATATATACATAATAGACTATATGGAAAAGTCGGCAAAGTGAAAAACACCCGCAAGCCGCAATATTCATTAGGAAAATTATTTTTAATTGCATTTTTGGCCAACCTAAGCTATGGACAGCGGTGACAGAAATTCGACTAACTACCTGTGTACATATTTAATCGTACATACACATCCATTCGATGAAGTTTGTGGCTGGTAGCACACAGAAAACCACAATTAAATCAATGCAACCACATTTTGTTGCGGTCTCTTACTGCTGCTGCATTAACAATTATTTAATATTTCTGGTATATTTGTATGCTCGTTATATATTTGCATATACATACATATATATACTCATACTTATACAAAGGTGAGTAATTGCAGAATATATTCAATATTTCATTCACAACCATACAAATGCAAATTGGGCAAAAATCCCAATTTGGTAGAGTTCATCAATACATCTTTGTGAGTGTATGACACCTAAGCAGCGGTACAAATGTATTCCGTTTCATACATATTTCGATAAGTGTGCATGTACGACATTTAGAAAAATTACACCGGTAAAAACTGTGTCTGTCACATGAACTTTTTGAAAATTCTTTTTTGGGCTAAACAGCAACTGAGACATTTGCCATTTGTTATACCAATGACTAGGACACGAAATCAAAGCAACACGTAAGTCATTATTATTTCATTTTTTTTTGACTCAAACAAAATTTTTTACAACCAAATCCAAGCTAATTATCCACCATCAAAGCTTGCCTTCAACCAAAAGATCCATCCAACATATTGCCAACCGGCACACCTGGTTCTAGTGAGTCAGTAGAACTCTTAAGACAAGGACCTAAGCTATGAATATTTGTAGGCCCACAAACACGCCAATTTATAAAGGATAAAATCCATGAAGGCCAGCTTAATGACAGGTAAAAACCTGCCTGACACTGTTTTGTGAAAGTTGTGCAGAATTTTACTGGAAACCAGACAGCCGAAAATTATTAAAAATTAATAAAGTAACTTAGTGTATAGTGTCATGTAAAGCTTTGAGCTTTTGTCGAAATGCTGGATTTCCTTCTCGCAAGTTTGGGACATTGTGTCTGACGAACAAGGTGAGTTGTTCCATCAGGACATTTTCTAAATGGCAGAGCGTTATCTGTAGAAATGGAGGCCAGGATTGCCAGCAGTTCAATAGAGGGGGCTTACTAAGAGCCAAATACTCACAAAAATCCGAATTTTCAATTTTGTTGACCAGTGCTATCTACATATGCATACATATTTTCGTATATTGTAATTGAAAGATGTAAAGAGTGTTAATTTGCAATGATAGAACAAAGAAACCGGCATCTTAGGTAGAAAGCTGCCAGCAGACAAGAGTTATTATCTCATTTCTATTTACCAATTTTCTCAATGAAAAAATTTTAATATTTTTTTTTTATTGATGTTGCCTCTCGTCGGGCAATATCAACCTCTTGAAGTGCATTTTTGGCTTGAAATAAAAAGCTCCTAATAAAAATCCATAAAGCTCCTAATAAATCATAACTTCGAAGGTCGTAGATAATTTCGTGTATTCGTGTATCGTGTATCCAACGCAGAATCACTCTTGCCAACAGGTGCTACTTTGGACTGAGTAGGCAATTGAAAAGTAAAGTCCTCTCTCGGCGAACGAAAACCAAACTCAACAAGTTACTCATTATATCCGTCCTACTATATGGCGTAGAGGCGTGGACGATGCCAACAACTGATTAGTTGGCTTTGAGAGTCTTCGATAGACAGTATTTACGAATGAAGTATGGTACTTTGCGCATTGGCAACGGCGAATAACGCAGACGATGGAACGATGAGCTGTACGAGTTATACAGCGACATTGATCTAGTTCAGTGAATGAAGAGACAGCGGCTAGGCTGGCTAGGTCATGTCGTCCGGATGAATGAACGCAATCCACCTTTGAAAGTATTCGATACAGTAACCGCTAATGGACGCGGAGGAAGAGGAATATCTCCACTCCGTTGGAAGAATCAGATGAAAAGTGACCTGGCTTCACTTGGTATTTCCAACTCGCCAAACAGCGCAAAAAAGTTATGAATGCGCCGTATAATTGATTCGGCTGTAATCGCATAAGCCGTGCCAACGCTAATAAAGAAGAAGAATAAAATAAAAATACATCAGCGGCTTAGTACGACCTGTAGTTTCTACCAATTTGAGTTTATCTAGGGCATAAGATTGCAAGTCACATTAAAGGGGAATAAATAGCGTTGGAAAAAGTGGCATGGCAACACCAAAAAAGCTGCAGTATTATGCAGACGGAAGTCTATGCGGTGAGAAAGGCCGCCGAGCTTGTTACCACTGCTAGAAACCAGCTAGAGTCTACAAGCGGAAATTGTGGCAAATCAGAAAATGTTCCTAGAAGTAGCAGGAAAGCGGATAAGATGATTATGCAGGGAAGTAGCTGCATATGCACTGCGTTTCATTCCAAAATAGATTTGTGGGGAACAAAATAATTGATGTGATTGCTTAAAGTGCCATCAGTACGAAACAATATATTGAATACGAAAGATGCAAAAGACCTTATATAATGAAAATTCCAAGAAAGCTGGAAGACCAAATGCCTGAAGGGCATGCGCAAGAGCGTTAAGATCATGTGCGAAAAATGAAAAAAAGGTCTTTAAAGGAGTGTAGGATGATTCTAGGCCTAAGGTACAGAATACAAACTATTTGCATATTTATGTACATGTGTCGGATGTGTAATGAGACAAGCAAGAATGAGACCATAGAATATCATCGCTCTGTTTCTCGTCTCATTTTAGGCAGCTAAAACTCGTATTAAGAATCTAGAAGATGTTCAGCGCACTAAAAACGGATTCAAAACTATTTATCAGGGCTCTCTTATGGAATGGATGATGCTTAGCATAGCACCCAGTCAATATAACCTAAACCAAACTAATAAGCTTCCAATTAAAAGGAAAATTTTGAATAGTACACTTTAGGGTTTTCTTATACTAAATTTTATACCAATGACTACACAGTAAAAAAAAACAAGCACTTCTTGGTAAAGACCGGAGTTCAATTATCTTCTTCTCAGCGTTTCAACGTCAGTTCAAAAGTGTAAGTATTAAGATGGACACGTATTCGGTTTGGAATCTCTTAAGCGTTTATAAAGAGCCAATTCTTCTTTATTGGCATTGGCCAATTATTTTTCATTAATTTGTTTTTACACAGCTATATACATCATTTTTAGTGCTATCTAATTTTTAGCTTAATTAAAATTCAAAAAAAATATTTTTTTGTCTTCTTTCTTTAAAAATTTTTTTTTGTTGATTTTCTGCCACAAATAAAAAAACTTTTCGAAAAAAAAATCAAAATTGCTTTTTAAACCCTTCTTCCATATATCGATCAAGTACTCACGCATACATACACATTTTTCATTCCCACAATATTTCAAAATAATACACAATAAGCAAAAGAACTAATAAAATGGCAGAAAAAATATCGAAATTTCCACAAGAGTGGGTGGTAAGCTGTCTACGAAGTGTGAGAATGTGTGGCATTCGAGAATGAAAATTCCAAAAGATTTGCGGGCATTAACAACAAGAAGGCATTAGAAGCCACTTCAAACTGTGGAAACACGCACAAACTCAAAACTAACGGCAATTAGGCGCATCAGCTGTGCTTTGCAAACTAAAAAAAAAAAGAAAAAAAAATTATGTGTATATAAGAGTAAATAGGTTTTTGAGTATACATATGAAAAGTGGTATTGTATTGTACGCTTATGTGACCTCGTTTGTAGGCTTTTCGCCGCAATATCTATTCTTCTCAGTTCTAAAAACAAAACTATTTATTTTGTGTTGAAAACATTTCGAGACAAAATAAAGAAATGAAATGAAATGGAATGAATGATCGCCAAAAATACTTATATACAATAATAAATTTGTAACAAAAAGACAACACGACGTCCAAGCAGCGACAAGACGGTATACAAAAAGGAACTTCCTGTTTTCAATTTGGACGAATAGTTTGTACTTACAAAATTTACCCGTTTGCAGTTTAACTAAGGGTTAATGAAGCGTTTTATATATTACAGCCGTTAGGGTTAGGAGAGCCGTTCGAGATAAAGCCTTCGTTTCATTTCTATGCTCACTATTTCAGCTAAGAGGCAACGCTAAGCTTAAACTGAGTAAAGCCATCTTTTGTTTCGCCTGCCGTGGGCTAGTTTGTTGATTTAACGATAATTTTAAATTATTAATAAATTTTTAATTTAACAATTTATTGAGATAGATCTTTAGACCACGGGCGCTATAGACTTTCCCATTCTCATTTCTCACTCACTGTCTGCACAAAAACTCACCATTTTTCATGCTCGGGTCACGTTTCATTGATGGTGTTTTACGTAACTGTTTGGTTTTAAATTCAGGCTTTGGCTCCTCTTTGGGCTCTTTAAGTATTTCATCGATTTTCGATACCTTCTTCAATACCGGCCGTATTTTCATAATATCCTCAGTACTTTTACTTGGCAAGGGTTTTTCTTCGCGTTTCACGTGACGTAATTTCGGTTTCTCCAATTTAAAACGTAACTGCCGCTCGCGTTCATCTTCGTTTTCGTCATCGTCTTCGCCGCTATCAGCTTCGACTTTTTTCATGGACTTGTCGCGTTTGACCATGACTGGTCGTAATTTAGGTTTTTCGATTGAAAAACGTCTTGATAACTCACTTTCATTTTCCTTCTTCTTGGCTTGTGGTGTCTTCTTGAGCTTAACGCCCAGACGTAGAGAGGGTTGGGTGAACTCATTTTCGGAGAATTCGAAATCGGATAGACCTTCGAGATTTTCTAAATCTTTCTCATCTACTTCTACTTCGCTCTCTTCCTCTTCTTCCTCGCTCTCTTCTTCTTCTTCGGTCTCTTCTTCTTCAGTCTCTTCTTCCTCCTCATCTTCAGTCTCCTCCTCTTCCGATGATGATGGTGTGGGTTCCTTCTTCTTAGCTGCTGCAGCTGTAGTTTTGGACGCTGTTGTCGTTGTCGGTTTCTTGCTCACGACTGGTTCTGGCGCTTTTTTGGCTGGCGCTACCACTTTTTTGGCTGGCTCTACAACGCGTTTCACCGGCTCAACCACTTTCTTTGCTGGCTCAGCGTTCTTCTTTGCGGATTCTGCCACAGCTTTCTTTACAGGTTCGACGGTCTTTTTGGCTGCCGTAGTTATCTCACCTGATTTCTTCGCCACAGAATTGCTGGCTGTTGGTGTGGTGGTCTTCTTGGCTGCAGACACAGTAGCAGGCTTTTCGCCATTCTCCTTCGTTTTCTCTTTATCCTTATCGGCCGTTGTAGCAGCAGTCTTCTTTGCCCAAGGAACCGTCGTCGGCTTCGCATTAGCGGTCGTGTCGTCCTTGACCCATGGTGGGCGAAAAGTGGTGCGGCCACTGGTGCTACTGGCCGTGCTCTTCGGCGCAACGAAAGGCATTATGTGACAAGTTCAACGATTTTTTGTTTTTTTTTTTTGTCCTCAAATATATTAAATTTGTGATTCTGGTTATCGAATTGGGGGATGTTTCTAGAACATCGCCGTTAAGCACTAATAATAAAGTTCTTTTCAGAAATTTCACTAAAAATTCTTTTATTTTTCCGCCTTGTTGTATGTCGAGTTGCAAAAACCACTAAAATCTGTTAAAACCAAAATATTTATATGTATTTTTTAATTTTGTTTTAGTTTTATTACAAGTAGACAATTCCAAGCACTTTGTCTCATACGATTTCAATATTCACTTAAATTCTGTTTAATTCGTTAATACATCAATTTATGCACATTTCTGTTGAACACGAATATTTTTTCGCGAAACCGTCTCGTCGAAGCGCAACAGCTGTTTGAGAATTTTTACTTGATTCAGAAAAATGCCTCGTTTATGCTGTGTGTATCCACTTTTCGTGGGCCCACAAAAATACATTTGCTAAGCAACGCGAAAATATATAGGCTAGCAGAAGCACAATTTGTATACAACATCGGGCGTAGATAGCGCGGCGGGCACCGAAGCGGCTGGTGGCGGTGGTGATTTTTATATTTAAATATAGACTAAAAATTTTTTATTTTAGCCGAGTGTGGGGCTAAGGCAGCCGCTAGCAAGTTGGACATTGCTGCAGTTTTCCACTAGTTCAAAAATTCGAATTTAGCGGCGTCACATTTTGTTTGAATTTTATAAATTTAAAAAAATGAGTAATACGCGAACAAAAGTGACTTAAAAAATTGTTCTAGAGAAATTATTTTTAAATTTTCATTCTTAAATATAGATTAAAACAAAAAATATATTATCAATAGCAGGAATATTTAATTTACCTATTAACATAAAAAAAATAAATAAAAAAATAAATAAAAAAAAATAATAAATAAAATAAAATAATATAAAATACAATAAAATACAATAAAATAAAATAAAATAAAATAAAATAAAATAAAATAAAATAAAATAAAATAAAATAAAATAAAATAAAATAAAATAAAATAAAATAAAATAAAATAAAATAAAATAAAATAAAATAAAATAAAATAAAATAAAATAAAATAAAAAAGAAACTAGTAAAATTGTTATAATACAATAATATATTTATTAAAATATTACAAAAGTAGAACTTTCCACTTGGTAAATATCTCTTTAAACAATTTTCGTTATACCAATTAATTTATGCAAACCTATAAAATAATTTGTTTGCGTGTTTAGTAACATAAAAAAAATAACTACAGAATACACTTTATTCAAAAAAAAAACACGAAAGTTTCGCAGAAAAAAGAGCAAAGTAAAGAGCGTAGAAAAGCAGAGACGACGAAAAACGTCAAGTGTTTGTATTGTACTTCAGCAACTGCCATTAACCTCCTACACTAGTTGTCCCGCTGTAGGACTTTGCTTTTGGTTAAACGCAGAAGACAAACAATTTTTTTTGTTATTTCAAATTTAATTTTAGCTACGCGTTTTTGTTGTTGGTGTTTATTTTTGTTTCATGATTGCTGTTGCTGCCATTTTTCCAACACTTTTCCACTCGTTTTCGCGCATTCCTTTTAAACGCTGAATTTTCACACACTTCAATCCCCGTTCGCTTTTCTGTTTTCCATCTGTGTTTTGCTTCAATAGCATGCAGCTGGTATTTTTTCGCCTTTCTCTCTTAGCTTCATTTTTAAATTTATTTTCGTTTACTTTTATGAGAATTTTCTCGCTTGTGCTTCATTTCATTGGCTTTTCTGCTACTTCATATAAGAGAGAAAATTGTGGTTTGCATATATGTACTAAGTACATATGTGTAGTTCTATATATGTGTATGTTCATAGTACAATTTGTAAAAATACTGCTATGTGTATGCATGTAGAAGCGTAAGTTTGTGAATGCATTCGGCTCCAATGAGGAACAAGTTGTTTTTAATTATATTTCGCTGATTCTTTCTTCTGGTTTTGTTGTTTTTATTTTGTTTCGAATTTTACAAAAATAAAACCATGCGGAGGCGTTATTGAAATAAAAAAAAAAAAAAAAACCGAAGCGAACAGAAAATGAAATTAAACAGCAAAAAAAATATGAAAACGAGTTGCGAAAATGCTGCAAAAGCGATTTATTTATTTCGCCTTGTTGACTTTCGCAGGGTTTTTTAAAAATCGTATTATACGGCATTTTCTCTCCGCTTTTCCTTTGTGTCTATTTCATTTATTTCTTAATCTGACTTTCTCCTTATTTCGATTAATATCTCAACGTTGTCGCTCATTGCTTTCCTTTCGGTCCACGCCATCCGCTCAGCAGATCGTTAGCAATCCATGCAAATTTTGATAGATCATTAATTCGAATTACAATACAAATGGTGCATTTTGGAAATGCATAAACTGTTATTCTCTGCAGCGCAGTTCTATTTGTAATTATACTAAATGGCTAACGAGTTGGCTTACGATTGCGGTGTCATCGCTAATTTTAAACATTTCAGAAAATTTTGTGCGACATGTTTAGGTCATAAATATTATAAAATTTTATTTATCATTAAAAATGTCACAGCTATATTTAATATATTTAATAGAAACCAATTCCAAATCAAGCTGTTGCGCTGCGAATGGTCGTGAGTTGCATGCACATAAAACGTGTGTAGTGTTCCACAGTTAAACGATTTTTAAGATTTTATTCTATTTTAATTAGTTTTTTTGTGGTATTTAAATAATAATTTTAATACTTTTTTATGCTTTTTATTCTAATTTTCATTTATTTAATTAATTTTTTTTCTATATTTTCAATTATTTATATATTTCCATTTTTTCTAATAATCTTTTATGCCAAATTTTATTTAATTTTTTTTATTTAATTTTATTAATATCTTATGTTAAGTTTTATTCCATCTTTTCTGGTAACATATTTCACCTTTTTATTGATATTTTTTATTATTAAATTTTACAAGTTTTTTCTTTTTATATAATTTTGACTTTTTTATTATTTTTATATTAAATTATATTTGTTGTTTATTTACGTTGTACGTTGCAATTCAAAAAATAAATTTTAAACCGATCAGCACAAATATTTCAATCTCCTCCAAAAAAATTTTCCGCATATTTCTTGTAGTATTTACAGTTTTTCACTTTTAATTTCTTTTTTTTTTGCACTCTAATTTTTTTTTATTATTATATTATATTTTATTTTTATCCCACCATAAGCAATGTCCAATCGAAAAAACTCCTTCGGCCAGCGCTTCCTCCAAAGAACTGAAATATGTGATTTTTCGAAATAGACATTTGCCTCAATTTTTCAAAAACACTCACCATAATGAGACTATGAGTATGAGTCAATTTGTTAGAGAAAAATATCGAAACTTATTTAAATTCCACTGCACGTGTGCACATGCATATTTGTATTTATGCAATTTTGTTTTTGAATAGTAGCTCAGTAATTGCGGTAATTTCAAAAATTTGCTAGATTTTAGAATTTTTGAGTTGGTATTTTTTTGTTTGTTTTTAGCTCTCCCAATTCTATATTACTAATTGCCTACAGTTAAGTATGCGATTGTGAAAGTCGAAACAAGATGTACGAAAACAAACAAATGAATTGAATCACATTTTATAATTGCATATATAGATTTTGGCACTTTGTTGTAAAAATTCGATTTTGGCTAATTAAGGATTAATATTATATCATTACGTAATTTCGATTTTTTTTTGTTGCAATTTAAACACGTTTTTTTTGTGTAAAATGTTTTTTATTAAATTATTTCTTCTAATTTCAGTAAGAAATTTTTGATTCTTGCTGGCGTAAAAGTGATCTGAGTGGTTTGTGGCGTCTTAATTTGAAATGAGCGTTTGCCCACCCAAAAAATTTTGTAGAGACTGGAAAAAGTAATATACCGAAGGTACCTTGCCTGGAGAATATATTATCCTATTCGTGTTGCAAATGCTTTTGGGGAGTCATCAAACTTGTATGAAGTCTCGCATTATCCTAGTTGAACACTACACCTTTTCTATTGACTCTCGCTTTCACTCAATTTGCCCAGCTTAACACAATACACTTCAGAAATAGTCGTCATATTGACCGGCGAAAGCTGAAAATAAACGATATGCTGAAATCTCACCAAATATACAACATAAACTTCTTGTTTTGTGAACATCGGTCATCGAAGTTGTTTGAGCTGCCTTATCCTTTTTTAGACTATGATTTCTTGCGGCTTAGATTGTTATGAATAACCCACCTTTCGTCGCCAGTACCAGTGCGCCTTAAAAATGAATAATTTATTTTACGATCGTTTTTGCAACGAAGCGAATTTCGTTCTGTAAAAACATGAAGAAATCATATCTCAAGCTTCGAAATTATTTTCCTAGACATTTCATGTGCTTTCTTTTAGCAATGTCTTGACTTGTTATTTGGCGATTTTCATGTGCTCCATGCTCAAGCTCGAAATTGCTGGAACGTAAATTTGCAAACCAATTTTGGTATTGGCGTTCGGTCAACACATCTTCTCCGTACACAACACATAATTTTCGTCTTGCATTGAGCGGCATTTGTACCCTTTCGATAGTAAAACAGTAAAATATGCCGAATATGCTGTTATCGTGCTTTCACCTTATTTAGGGCCGTTATGTATAAAACAAATATTTCGTTTTTACCCGAAATGTAATGCTGTCGTTAATTTTAAATCGTTAATAGGTAATGTTAAATCACTAGCAGATAATGGTGAATCGTTAACAGATAATGTTAAATCGTTAACAGAAAATGCTAAATGCTAAAATTGAAGTGTGTTGTTAATATCAAAGCGAGCAACAACGAACGTTAACGATGAGTTTTTTGCAGTTTCCTCATTAACAGTTTCGTTTCGTTCAGATAAAAATTTCGCTTCGTTAAATGAACAAATCACTTTCCATACAGAATTCAGGTATCGAATGCTAAGTTCGATCTATTAACTTTTAACTTTTCTTATAGCGGTATAGTTTCTTTCGGGTGTAAAAATTCACAAAAAAATATAGAATTCGATTTTGTATGTACATGAAAAATCAGAATTTTTTATTTTTGTACAACATTGTTGTAATACGTCAAACATCCCACAAATTAGTGTTAATAAATCTCTTTTTTGCACGAAAACTAATTTTAAAAATAATAATTCACATGGATATTTTCACTCTAAAATGTTCATAAAAATAAGGTGTTAGAAAAAAAAGTGCTATTACGTGTTCTTCAAGAGAGCTCTTCAATATCCAAAGCAGCTCCTGATTTTGCGTTGATGATAGTTTCAAAAAAGACGAAATTATCTGCACGAACGACTGTTTCTTTGATAACTAGTGATATTTCGTATTGTCGTTTACGCTACCAGACCCACAACTGTACACTCTTACAGACATTCTACTTTCTCTATTAACCATAATCAACAGTGAAAAGCCAAATATGGACAAAAATCGTACAAGGAAAATCAATTGCGACGAAAATGAATGAGATGACGATGATTCTTGCCCGCGAATAATCATGATGTACAAGTGATACGGGTTTTTCATACAAACGACTCGAAGCCACCAGAAGTATAACTAATTTGAAAAGAAGAGCCGAGAGGCAAATCATTTATCACCCAGTTTCGACGAACATAGAGAAACGACCTGTAGTCCAGCCGCAATGAATCGTACGATCTTGAAGGCCACGCCACTAACCCCCGAAGCGAGATAATGCAGTTAACAAAAGTTTCCTTCAATAAATTTGTTTTTATTTTTCGTTCTCTGTAAGACGTGTACTGCGGTCTTGTCAGTACAAAAGATCGTCTACATCAACATCGTCCAATTCAGGCACAAAAATCGTTAATCCTTTTGGAAGAAATATAAAACAGTGACTTTTTGAAGAAGTAACGGCATTTTAGCGATGCTTTGTGGATCTCCATCATCATCGAAATGCCACAATTTTTTTTTCATTAATGTACAAATTCAACCCTAAATGAGCTTCGTCGGCGGCAGTCTCTTTTTTGACCCATTCTAAGAACGTGCAACGCGCTTGATGGTCGTACACGGGCTGGATTTTGTAAGCTCGCAAACTAAGACTTTTCCATAAGTGGATGGGATGCAGTCCCAGTTATTGTTGTGCGCTTTGATGAATGGATTAGGTCGGGCCTTCTTCGATGCTCTGATCCAAAACAGCAATAGCATTTTCGCTGCACACCACATGGCATTTCTGAAAATACGCATAATCCACTGGAGTACAAATGGTACGAAACTGCCTCTACTGGGCGTTTATATCGACCTTATATTGGTTGCAGCGCGAATCGTACCATCCGCAAATATTGTTATGAAGTAAGTCTGCACATTATGAAATCTTAAACCAATCTGAACTGCCAAAAATACAGACTTCCAAGAAAGTTTGGCCTCGTTGGAAGCCACAGGTCTAAAAAAATAACTTTTATATATATATATATATCATGGGTGTTTTAAAGTACTCAAACAATATTCTAGTTGATAAATTAAATGAAAATTATTTCTAATTATTTTTTTTTCATTTTTTACTACTCACATTGGATTTCTATGCGATAGGGACATGCAATGTCCATTTGTGATATACAATGTTTGCGTATGCTGACGTAAAACCCATCCATTTTCTTTTAAAATATGATTATTTTTAAATTTTCCTCACTTACTACTGTTTAAGTATTCTACTGTGTGATCTTTTAAAAATTTTCTTATTTTGATTTATTTGCAATAATTTCACAATTTCCTCGAGACTCGAATTCAACTCAAGGCAAGGTCAACAAACTTATTCACACTTTTGAGTGCTCAAAGAATTTTTTATTACTTCAAAATTGAGTAGTCGCACACTTCAATTGCTCAACTCCGGCATAATTGTCAAATTTGTGGAAAACTCGAAATTTATGCGAAAATTAAATTAAACATTCGCAACAACTTGAGATTCTTCCGACTAAATAACAGTACGTCGAATGAAAATAGAAAAAAAAAATAGATAAAAAAGTCAATGGCAGAAAACGTAAATACAAAATTCGTTAAAGTAACAAAAAAAAAAAAAAAAAAAAAAAATTGAGAGCGAAATTGCAACGCGAAACTGCGCGCAAACGAAAGCAAGAAAGTAAATGCAAAAGAAAAACAAAGATAGGAAATAAAAAAAAAAGTTAAAGCAAATTAAAATTACGCAAGTTTTATGCACTGCATTCGAATTTGAAATAACATTTTCCAACAAAAAAATAATGCGGAATGTGACACTGCTACAGCGCTCTCGCTGCACAGACGCCGACTTCTCACTCCAGCTGTAATCAGAGAAATATTTTAAGTCAGTGTTTGACAGATAACTTCGACATGCCTGCAACTTAGCACACTAATGAGCAAACGCCATTGCCCAGTTAAACAGTCCGAGATTGCGTTTTTCAAATTAACTTAAAAGAGAAAATATTTCCAGTTGCTGTTTGTTTTTTTTTTTTTTTGTTTGACCTCTCGCTCAACTCAACTAATTGACTAAAGTGCGCGGCCAACACACAAGCACTCCGAAACATTCCAAGGCTCTTATGAAATCCAAATTAGAAATACACAAAATTTTTTAAATTACTTAACTGCTGCTTGTAGTAGGGGCAGGAGCGTGTAAGAGTTGAACTAGGTATTCTATTACCTTGTGACAAGAACCACTCGTCCAGAAAATCCATACCCATGATGCGTGCTGATGAATTTTCTTTTCAGTTTTTTTTCTTTAAATTTACCTGCTACGACACTTTTGGTTGGTTAGTATTACAAGCGGATTTCCTTAAAAAAAAAATATTTTCGGAAACTTTCACGATTTTTTATTTTTTTATAATTTTTAAAACGTACGAATTTCTAATTTGTTATCCTTTTAGCGCTCGACTTGCAACTGTTTGACAATTGAAAAAGTTCTAGCTTCGTTGTGGTGCAAGTTTACATTTTGTCTTTCGCTTTTTACTCAGTTTGTTGTTGCGTATACGCAACCGCTGCTGCTCGTTTGATTTGCAATTATTTGGCAAGTCAATACCTTTAATGAAGAGTCGCATGCAAGGCAAGAAACTGCGCTGCACTGTGAGAAAAAATCACTTTCATATGTTAAATTATATGAAGAGCTTTCATTTTATACTACAGTTTAGCCTCGACTTTTTCCGCAGGGAATTTCAAATTACATTTGATAAAGTTTTAAGTTTAGTTGTAAGTTGAAATCAATAAGCGTAACAATTTGAATAGAATCTAGGTAAATAAACCCAAGTAAAATGAAAGCTTAGATTTGTGGAGGTTGATTTGTAGCAG